TGTTGATTTTTGCATGGATATCTATTTTTTACTTAAAATTAGTATTGACAGAGAGATAGACAATGTAACAACTATCTCATTCTGGTGTACATGTATATACAAAATATTAGTCTTCCGGAATAAGTATGGTTTCAACGAAAGCCGTTTCAAACTAAAATACGTATATATTTGAAAGAGAAAAGAAAAAAATACTTGTTGTGTTGTAAAATCAAGAGCTAAAAAAAGCCAGACCAAGAGTTTTCAGGGAAACTGTTAAAAGCACTTTAAATGAAAAGAAGCAAAATATTGTACAGTTGAGAAAATATGTGATTTCTGTTGATAACATTGTACGTCAATCATATTTGTTCTCACAACTTTATTTTGATGCTTGAATGTATACACCTCATTTTGAGGCACACACAAACAAACAAAGCTACGCATACTTAGTTAGTGTTCTTACTAAAATGCTATAATAATTATGGTCATTTGTTTAGTTGTCCTGTGATGATATAAAAATAAAGCAGAAGTCAAATGAAAAACTTTGGGTTTCTTGGACGTAGTGATATATCATAATAGTTCGGGGTAGTTGATGTAGTACTGTAGTGCTCTCTATAGATTGGGATAAGATTTGTTTGGGGGCCAAATTTCGTTACCGTTATGTGAAAATATTATGTCAGCTATAAACGTTTACTATGAATTGTAAATATAGATTGCTAATACAAATCAAAGAGAACACAAACATCACGAAAAAGTTGTTTAATTTCATCAAATGTTTTCATTGCGGTTATGTTTAAAATCATCTTATGAAGTATGAATTAATAATAGGTCGAGTTATTGGGGTAGAAAAGGGATGAGAGGGAAAGAGAAGGAGGGGATACAAGATGATAAAAGATAGAAGTGATACAGAAAGAGAGATAAGAGGGTGAGAAAAGTGATCCAGGGAGAGAGAGGGGAAATAGAGATAGGGAGCGAGAGAGAGAGAGAGAGAGAGAACGAACATTACGACGTTATACAGGACCGATTATGGTTTATGATACAAATACTTTTAAAATTGCATAATAATATGAAGTCTATAATTACTTTAAATCAGTCGTGCGGACACACTTAAATGTTGATTCGTGGTCCAGATAATTTTGTTTACCAGTTAAGCAAAAAACACGTTTTCTAACAAATTTTAGCAGATTGTACTGCTTTTGCATGTAGAATATTTGGTAATTCATCCAAGAAATCTCTAAGAGTATTCCAATGCTTAAAGTCTACAGTCAGTGCGTCAATAAAACAGCGAAACTCAGTATCAAACGGTAATTGAGAACAATCCATCAGCCGTTTAAGTAAAATGCATTGCTTTGTATAACGCAGAAGTCATATGCTAACTATTACGATATGATGATAAGGTTAAAATCTGACACAAATAGATTTTGAAATTCTATTTTCAAAACAATGTTTGTCGGTGAAGTGAGTATCAAGCAATGCAATCAGAGTATCATTATTGCAAACTTTTCAAAGAAAAACAGAAAAGTTTTAATGAGAGACATATTGTATTGGCTAGAAGAGAAATTCTTTCACTTTCACCTCACGTAGCATGATAAGAAAATGAAATAGTTTGTCGCAAAAGGGACTGAACACGATCCCACATTTCCATTTGCTCCAATCACGCGCTTCATTTATTAAACATGTTAAATTAGTAGCAAAGTGCTGCGCGGAGGTCACTTTTTGGAAATGGTCGCAAAAGTTAACGAAGTTTGCTGTCCAAAAAGAAATTCAATGAAACATTGTTCCAAGGCGTTACATATATCCAGGGGCGGCGGAGCACCTGCAAAAGTGTGTGTGTGTGTGTCTGTGTGTGTTGGGGGGGGGGGGGATGGGCATCAACAAAAAGGGCACCTACAAAGGGAAATCTCTCGAGGCGAAAATATACAATTTTAGTCATTAATATATACCCCTATTGTGATTACATTATCAGGGATGATTTCAATATTTGTTTTTCTTCATACATCATACAATACATTAGGAAAAGACCAGCTCTGGTCATGCGATCGATCAGAAAAGGTTGATCATCTAGCATATGAGTAAAGTATTGCTGTGTACTGCAAGGTTCTGGAATCTTTAAAATGATAAGAAATCTGGCCCAGTCTTGGTAAAGTTACATGCACTGTACACAGAAAGATATATTGCCCAGGCCTTTATGATTTATCGTACAACGGCATAATAATTATATGCACAATTTATCTCTTTCTCCTAAACAAAGCTTTTAATCGCCATGAGACAAAATAAACTTGTAGAAAACCAGAACTCATTATGAATGTTTGCTAACTCAACACAAGCTGCTTCTAGTGATTTGACACCTTCTTTCCTGTATTCATGATACTCTCTACATTTGATTGTTTTGTAACATGCGAATAGAAAAGCGATTGGATTAAGTCCTCCCTCCTCGCATTTAGTTGAAGGGATTATACGAAAATCATTTGTATTTTTCTTCCTCATACTTGGCTTCGAAATATGGATTTCCAAACGTTTGAGTAGTCACCGGTGGGTGATTCCCTTACAGGTCAGTTAGCAAATGATTGAGTCTATTAGTTCTGTTTATGTTGTTGGCATATCAGACCCCCCCCCCCCCACCGTACACCCCTTCATTAGAATGCTGCCATACGCCCGTGCTTCCCTATTGACTTTGTACGAAGCCTATATTGTTATTAATGCATTAAATGTGAATGATCGTTAAATGGCATTTTGTCGGTGTTTGATTTATTTCAAACTGCTTTTATGCAGAATTCTACCTATCTCATGAATGTCCTGGCCATTGGATGAATGCGCCTCAATATGCATGATAATAATTGTAGAAATAATAATAATGACAATGTTAAATTAATAATAATATTAATGATAATGATAATAATAACTACAATAATAATGATGATGGTAATAATCATTATACTAACAATAATGATAATGTCATTACTAGTGAAGGAAATGTGTATACAACGCAAGCACTTACAGTGCGCCATCAATCTAGGAAACTATTCTGGGTAAGACAAGTAGCACAACAATTCAAGAGGAGAAGTACAGTAGGCTAGAGAAAATAATGTACTAGTGTTGAACTAGATTTATGTACTGCATGCTTTTTAAAAGAGGCTCGATGCAGGGAAATGTGTCGGAGTAGGGTGGGCCCTCTCGAGGATATTTCCAACTAGACAACCATCAAGTCATATCTTCGCAGCGGGTACCGCGTAATGAATCCGAAAGCAATCGAAATGACTGAAAAGCATCAGTCACAATTGAAAAGCTGATTGATTTTTCGGGAAAATGTTAATGAAGAACCACTTTAATATTTAAAAAAAAAAAGCTTACTGTGAAGAACAAAAAATAACCCCATTTTGGGGGTGTTTTATTTTGGGTCTACTTCCTTCAATTTCAACAAGTAGTAATCAACATCAAATAAAAAAAAAATACTTTGCAGTGACATTGCATCACAAAGGTAACAAACTATTTTACATACTCCGTGGCAAAAAGGAAATAAGCGACGGAAATAAAGGGCAATGACAAAAAAGAGGGGGGGGGGTAGCTTATGACCCGGGTTCAAATTCAATTCTCTTCAATTTATTAGACCCAGTACTGATGATGCAAATTACTAATAAATATGATGAGCAACATCATCCTCTTTCACTTGATGCAACTCGTTTTTAAAGCATCACTTTAAACAAACAGAACTTTTTTATTCCTTGCTCATTTTTTCCAGATTGAGGTGTCATATGAACGAGCAGAAAATGAACTTTCTAGAAATGTGAATTTTTCTTCAAAATTCAGATACCGCCGCCAAATGACTTTTTGGCTTCCTTCCTTCAAATTGCTTTTAATCACTCATGCGTGAAATATGCATCATATGAGTTGTATCAAATGAAAGAGGAGGATCTAAGCTTTACAAATATGTGTCATTTATTACTTATAATTGTGATTAAGTTATGATAAAACATCGATAATTCTCGGGTTCGTTTTTTCTGGGTCGCACTGTATAGATAAAAATGATGAATACCACCATTAATGTAATTTCCTATTGTAGGTTACAAGATGCTTTGCATTCCTATACAAATGAAGATTAGGGTGTGTACGCATGTACATTACATGTACGTACAGAGTGAATGGTTTAGCCACTGACCGTTTTCACTTCGAGCTACGTGCATGGCCGCTTTAGTTTTTTAATTTTTATATAATGATATATCTTGTTTGGTTCTACCTGGAATATATTGAAAATGATCGAATATATAGATATGGTGGTGTTCTTTGTTGTGTCGGTTTGGTAGGCCATTTCATTCATATGCCCTTTTTGTATTTTTAGGAGATACACTTTTCTCTGTTAAAGATTACATCTAATTTGTCGATAGGAAGACGTGTTGCTTCTTCCTTATACAGGGTAATTGTTTTCCATCTTGAGATCGTTTCATGATGTCTTACTGATCTACTTTCTGCCTGTATCGCGCGCGGTCTCGTGTTCGTAGCTGAAGTTCCGTGCCCCCCAAGGTAATTATAATGTGTCATTGTTATATTTGTATAGTATAGCAAAGGTCGTAAGATCAATAGGAAAAGATGTATTTCCGTTTGAGTTTGCGAATTAAGAAATAAGTTAAAAGGTGCTAAATATCGGCTGCGCGAGCACTCTCTGTGGGAAAACCACTTCTATTCATAGATTTAGGAGGCACAAACTGCATTATATTCACAGACAATCGACTGATAGTTTAGCATCGTTATTAATTGTATATAATATATACACTTCAATAGAAGCTCAGTATTTTCGATCAAAGTAATTCGCTCCTCTTTCGTCACATATTTGTAATCAACGTGAGAACTTGGTACAGAATTGCATGCATGCATTCAGGACAAAATCTATCACTGCATACGTCGTGCTTACATGAACTGATTGTTGGCTTCTAGTGTTAGTAGTTATTGCGTTTTTAGGGACATTGGATATATATAAGCGTAGAATGAACTCGTATTTGTAATAAGCCAGAAACCCGCCATTTGTACCAATGGCTCAGCAGACTGACAAAGAGAAAGCTCCAAGCTCTTTAGAGAACCTGACGTGTCCATTATGTCTTGATATCTTCGACGAAGCAACGATCCTGACTTCATGTGGACACACCTTCTGTCGGAAATGTCTTAAGAACTATGACCTTTCCCACCAGGATCTCGATCACATGATCTGTCCTCTCTGCAGGAAGATCACCAAGTTGTCTGCGAACCGTGTCGGTAATCTCCTCACCAATGTGACTGTCAACGGACTTGTAGATAATTACCACGCCGAGTGTGGAGGGATGAACGTTGTCCTTGAGATGCGTCCAAAATGCACTGCTTCGAAGTTTCATCAAGAATCAGATGCTGTTTCATTCTGTAGAACGTGTAATAATTACATGTGCACTGATTGCGACTGCAGCCATGCGCTGCTGACATCAGTCTTTGAAGGTCATGAGATTGTATCCATACAGGATATCATAAACGGGAAGGTCAGTATTGGTCATCTTTCCGAGAAGTGCTGCATCCACAAACAAGAGAACAAAGATGTGTTTTGTGAGGATTGTAAGGTCCATGTCTGTCTCAAGTGCGTGATCGTCGGTCATCAACATCACAACATCAAGAATCAGGCTGACTTCGAGCAGCAGTTAAGTCTTAAGGTGAAGTGGGTTCATTCGAAAAAAGATACAGTGTTTATTGTATATTATGTAAAGCTCAGGGTTTTAGGCATTTTATTACGGCCATATGAGCATATTTGACACCTTATTTGTAAAACTGACATGTCACCAATCGACATGGGGTACAGGGTGAAGAGCCCCAAAAAGCTCAGGGGTTTTAGGCATTAAATAACGGTCAGATGAGAATCCAGGGGCCCGCTTTAAGGCCCCTGGTGGGAGCCAGGGGGCAGAGCCCCCGGAAGCTGGGTTTTTGGGGGCGTTTAATTAAATTACTGTTAGACGAGCATTTTTGATACCAGTCACACTGGCAGGTCAATATTCTTTCTTACTTTCCATCTATTTCTCTTTAAGATACTTTGTCATAACATCGGGGGGGGGGGGGGGGGGGGGGGGGGGGGATGGGGCTCGAGGGGCTCGAGCCCCATCCCCCCCCCCCCCTCGAGCCGGCTTTTCCGCGGGACCTGGCATGTACGCTTCTAAAATAAGCATATGTTTTGCCTGATTGTAAATTTGGCAATATATTTCTAACAAACACCCCCCCCCCCCCAAAAAAAAAAAAAAAGAATCACGGAAAATCATATCATTTCAGCAACATTGGAAAATCACTGGTATCGCATGAGAAATAAAACACGTTTTTTTTTTTAATTTGTTATTTGGGGGAGCAACTTACACCAAGGACCCCCCCCCCCCCCCCCATCAGTACACAAGTAACGGAATACAGTTTTTGTACAGTCTTTACCTGTAGATTTTGAAGGATATTATGCAAGGGAGCGTAGGGACCGAGCGAGAAGATTTTTGCATTTTTATTAATCTTAACACTGCTTTCTTGGGCCATCCAGAGTTTTAAAGTGTTTTGCGATCTTTAGACAGTGTTTGCTATACATTTTCTTTTTTGCACTTTTTCAAATTTTTCCGAGGGGGGGGGGGGGGGGGGACAATCCACCCCAGACAAATTTGAGGGAGGACGTGTCCCCCCGCTACCTCCCACCCCAACCCCCCCCCCCGGATCGCTGCCCCTACTAGAAGGTATTCTTTTCACTTCCCTATCATTTGTTTTGTTTAGGTGAACAACCTTGTCCAGCGATGTGCCGCTAAAAAGACAGAACTGGAGAAGAACATTCAGAATGTTGAAGTACAACGCCATGAAGTATACACTGCCGTGCAGGAAATATTAGACGATGTCAGTCAAGCCTACAGCATCAAGGCCAAAGAGCTTGAAGAAAATCATCGAAATCTCATTGAGCAAATCAATGCAATAAAGCGGAGTTTCGATGACGACCTCAGCGTCTTGAAATCCAAGGATCGACAGAGGATCAAGACTATTTTTGTAGTTCAATAACACTGGTATCTAATGGCAGACTGGGTCGTCTTGAGACAGACAGTCTGTCTGCTCATACCTTGCTCTGTGAGAAGCTGGATGCCATGCTGAAGGAGGCTACTGATCACACTTCTGCGGCAGCCATTACGAAGAAAGCACAGGAGAAGAGGTTTAAGCCTGCAGCTGATACTCGTATTGACCTCGGGAGCATCTCAGAATCAGATCCGAAGGTTCAAGTTATTCAGTGTGTAGATCTACAGGGAATGATGTCGGGAATGACCCAGTATTCTGATGATAGTGTAGCTATCGGATATAATGGTATATATGGTATAGATATCATTGATTTAACTGGTAAACATGAACAGTATGCAAAAATACCAAGTAACATGACGTGTTATGATCTTGTGTTTCAACAAGACAGGTCGTTATGCATATCGACGGGTAACCAAAAAGCACACTTATATTCTCACAATGGATCCCGGAAATCAACCATCCACGTAAATAGCACTTGCCATTATTATCTGAGACTAAACAGAAGTCCATCAAATGAAATGCTCATCTCTAACTTTGGGAAGCAAATCTCTGTCTATGACCCGACTGGATCCACTCTCAAACACACTGTTCCAACACAAAACAACATTACGAGGCAGGTATCTGCCACCAGGTCTGGTTTGATCATCACGAGTTCATGTAATTACTCCATTAACCCGAGTGTGGTGACGGTCTATGACAGGGATGGGAATGCTGGTAAGTCTCTCCAAGCGCCAAGCGGTGTCTACATGTATGCTGCCGTGAATGAGCAGGACAGGGTGTATGTAGCGAGTGTTGATTATCATAATGGTAACGTGTTGATCAGGCTCTATGACCTTGATGGTCTGAACCTGAAGGAGAGAGTTGAGTTCAATGCACTTAATATGACGCTTGAAACTGATTGGTGTTACTTGGTTTCCCTCTTTCCAGACATGCTCGCGTTTGCTTGTTACAAGAAGTTGTATTTTATCAAAGTAACACTGTAATCCATCTCACTCTCTTTATTATCATTATTGGTGTTGTGTATACCTCTCTGCTCCAGCTCTACTCTAATATGGGCCTATAATTAACGTGTCATATCATATTGTTTAATTATCTTTTATAGTGCCTGAATACCGTTGTCATTATCCAAGTAATTCCCTCTTTTAAAATAGTATGTAAATACTTTACGTTAAATATGCATCTACTTCTTCCATTGTGTAATCGCATATCCTAGAGATTTACTGAAAGCCAGTGATATGATATTACATGTATAATGTACAACTTGGAAATTGGTAAGATATTGATTGACTTATTATTAGTTTTATTTCTTATGTTGTTATTCCCAAAGTATTTCGTTTAAAGAGAAGGTTGAGTTCCGGGAAGAGGTGAAAAATAGTTTGTCAGCGTTATCATTGTTATTATGCAAGTGTGGAAGAACATCAGATAAAACATGTTCCCTGAAAAGCATGGCTCTTAAAATGTCCATATATTCGAAATATGGCATGTAACATCATAAAAATCGGGACGAATTTTTATGCCACGTGTTCGTATATATAGTCCCATATACATATTTCTGTGTACAGTGCTTGTAACTTTACCGAGACTAGGCTAAATTTGTTATCTTTTTGATGATTCCAGAACCTTGCACTACACACCAATACTTATATACTAGATGACCATCTTTTTTGTATTGATTCCACAATGTTTCTTTCACAATGCAATCGCATGACCAGAACTCAACTTTATCTTTAATGTTTGTGCTTATGTTTCTTGACTTATATTTGTGATTATTTTATATCTTTTGGCTTTCACGGGTTATCCTGTAAAGGTTTTGGTACTATTATTTTGTTTTAATTTTACAATATCATTTTACTCTTCATATGGATGTTTCATTGAACTTGCCTAATACATCAAATTAAATTAAAAAAAATCATGGGAGGACCCTGGTGCGATATTCCATTAAAAGTTCCTTCGTATTCACGTTGCACCCTGTTTGAAAAGCCATTAAATCGAAAGCTCTTGGAACTGATAATGTGACAGATTTGTTTGCTATGATATAGAGATGTATGATATTTTTAATCCATCCCCTGACACACGTCGACATTTCATATTCTTAGCCTGTTACAGATTCGAGCATGTTTTAATAAAGCGTTATAACAATGGTGGTTAAACTTAGGCCTATACATGTAATATTCACGTAGCATTGCTTCTAATATCGAAAGTATAAAAGGGTTGTTTACATATTGACCATACACTTCGGAAATATATCATAAAATAATGTAAAGTTATCACTATACATGCAAACATGGGGTCTGACCTTGATTATAATGTATGGAGTATTTACTACACTCTAAAAACTGAGATGTTAAATGTCAATTTAAAAGGGCCGAGGAGTGACCACTCTTTCAAAATGTCAGATTGTTTCTTTTAACCTGCTACATTCAACCTCTATAGTGTTGGATCCAGCACGTTCAAAGTGTTAATCTACCATTTTGAAAGAGTGGTCACTCCTCGGCCCTTTTAAATGGTGATTTAACATTTCAGTTTTTAGAGTGTACTAAATTCATTTTTAATCAACTGTTGATATAAACATGAGTAGGATTTAGCTCAAGCTATAGACGCCTTGTTGAAATTCTAAATAATATCAGATATCATATGTACATTTCGCAATACAATTACGCAATACTATACATGTATATTTTAAACGTACATTCACCAATAGATGCTGTATTTGGGGGGGGGGGGGGAAATATACTACAAAGAAATATTGACTGGTCTTCCGTGTCCAAAGGGAATTTAACGTATAGCAGACGACAGATAATGCCTCCAATGCCACGTCATAGAGGACAAAGAGCATGTTTTTATTGAATATGAACAGAACAAAAATGTCTTTGATTATATGAAACTTGTTGTGAAATATACTTTTATTATTGATTAATGTTGAATGTTGCATGGATATCTATTGTTTACTTAAGATTAGCATTGGCAGAGAGATAGACGGTGTAACAACTATCTCATTCTGGTGTACATGTATACAAAATATTAGTCTTCCCGAATAAGTATGGTTTTAACGAAAACCGTTTCAAATTAAAATACGTATATATTTGAAAGAGAAATTATAAAAAAAAACTTGTTGTGTTGGAAAATCGAGAGCTAAAAAAGCCAGACCAAAAGTTTCCAGGGAAACTGTACAAGCACTTTAAATGAAAAGAGGCAAAACATTGTACAGTTGAGAAAATATGTGATTTCTATTGATAACATTGCACGTCATATTTGTTCTCACAACTTTATTTTGATTCTTGAATGTATACACCTCATTTGATGCACACACACACAAACAAAATTACGCATATAATTATTTAGAGTAAGTGTTCTTACTTAAATGTTGTAATAATTATGGTCATTTGTTTAGTTGTCCTGTAATAATATAAAAATAAAGCAGAAGTCAAATGAAACACTTTGGGTTTCATGGACGTAGTGATAGATTATAGTAGTTTGGGGTAGTTGAAGTATTACTTTAGTGCTCTCTGTAATATGTTATAATTGTGATCAGATTTGTTCTGGGGCTAAAACTGTTTACCGTTATTTGACAATATTATATCAGCTATAAACGTTTACTATGAATTGAATATATAGATTGCTTATAAAAATCAAAGAGAACACAAAAATCACGAAAAAGTTGTTTAATTTCATCAAATGTTTTTTTAATTGTGGCTATGTTAAATATGTGATATGAATTAATAACAGGTCGAGTAATTGGAGTAGAAAAGGGGTGAGATGGAAAGAAAAGGAGGAGGGGAGGGGGTTTAGAAGATGATACAAGTGATACAGAGAGAGAGAGAGGGGAAATAGAGATAGGGAGAGAGAGAGAGAGAGAGAGAGAGAGAGAGAGAACGAAAATTACGACGTTTTAAAGGACCGTTTATGGTAATATATGATACACATACTTTTAAAATTGCTTAATGAGTCTATAATTACTCATAATTTAAATCAGTCATGCAGACACACTTACATGTCAATTCGTGGTCCAGATATGTTTACCAGTTAAAGGTAAAGACCAGTATTGGAAACGCCCTAATTTCAAAAAATGAAATGGAAGCTCTCATTACCAATCATGTGAAAAAATATGTTTTGACTAATACATGATGATAAAAAATTTGCAGGGAAACCGCCTACTAATTCATATATTTGGTAACTTTGTTTCTCTCATGGTCTGGTGAGAGATATAGGGCAGTCCCATATACATCTTTCTGTGTATAGTGCTTGTAACTTTACGAAGAATGGGCCAAATTTCTTATCATTTTGATGATTCCAGAACCTTGCAGATGCTAGATGCTAGATGATCAACCTTTTCTGATCGATTCCACAACGTTTCTTTCACAATGCAATCGCATGACCATTACTGGTCTTTACCTTTAAGCAAAAAACACGTTTTCTAACAAATTTTAGCAAATTGTACTGCTTTGCATGTGGAATATTTGGTAATTCATCCAATAAATCTCTTAAAGTATTCCAATGCTTAAAATCTACACTGCGTCCAATAAAACAGCAAAACCCAGAATAAAACGGTAATTGTGGACGATCCATAAGCCGTTTAAGTAAAATGCATTGCTTTTCATAACGTAGAAGTTATATGCTAACTATATGATTATAAGGTATTAGTTAACCAAAATCTGACACAAATGAATTTTGAAATGCTATTTTCAAAACAATGTTGATCGGTGAAGTGAGTAAGAAAAACAGAAGAGTTTTAATTATGAGAGACATATTGTATTGGTTAGAAGAGAAATTCTTTCACTTTCAGTTTGTCGCAGAAGGGATTGAACACGATCCCCCATTTCAATTTGCTCCAACCACGCACTTCATTTATTAAACATGTTAAATTAGAAGCAAGGTGCTGCGCAGAGGTCACTTTTTGGAAATGGTCGCAAAACTTAACAAACTTTGCTGTCCAAAAAGAAATGCAGTGAAACGTTGTTCCAAGGCGTTACATTATTATATCCAGGGGC